AAAATGTCTTAAATAATTGTCGTACTTTGTCAATTTCATAATGCATGACGTCATTTGTTTACATTTGAATACGCCATGAGCAGATATGAATGAATGAAAGAAAATCATGGAGAATTGTGTTTAAAAACAGTAAAATCGGACCGGACGCTTCTCTCTGGCCCAATCGGTAAAGGCACGTCAAGCTAAATGACGGTTCCGTATAGGATACAGGTTCGATTCCTGTCGGAGGACGAATATTTTCTATAAAAAATTCTCGGACATTCAGGCTGGTAAAGGTTGTTAATACTGTTTATTGTAAGCAGAACATTTACTTAAATATTTGTATCTATAAAAAGAGCGTATAAACATAAAAAACGTCTTAAATAATTGTCGGACTTTGTCCATTTCATAATGTATGACGTCATTTGTTTACATTTCGATACGCATTGAGCAGATATGAATGAATGAGAGGAAATCATGGAGAATTGTGTTTTAAAAAAGCAAAACCAACCTTGCTAACCGAACGCTCTTCTGTGGCCTAATCGGTTAAGGCACGTCAGGCTATATGACTGTTCCTGATAGGATACAGGTTCGATTCCTGCCAGCGGACGAATATTTTCTATGAAAATTTCCCGGACATTCAGGCCGGTAAATGTTGTTAATACTGTTTCTTCTAAACAGAGCATTTACTTAAATATTTGTATCCATAAAAAGAACGTATAAACATAAAAATGTCTTATATATATATATTATTTAAATTATTCGGACTATTGTCCTAATCTTTGTCGCAATATTTATTACCACGTTTCGGCCATTTTACGCTCCGGCCTTCTTCAGGTGGTTGGAATGCCGAACTGAAGCCTTTATTTCACTCACTGGGGTAGACTGTTCTAGTTCCGCATGTCATTTATCAGTTATCTCCTGTTAATTTCCCTCTGAAATTTCTCCACTGCCTTAACCGGGTATTGAACTCACTCTCTTTGGTCCTGTCACTGGATCTAACCAACGCCTTTATCCACTGTGTCATTTCTGGGTATTATAAACTTAATGTCTTCAGCAACCATTTTTACCAGTGCTCATATTGCAATTTTTGCTGTTATCATACCATGTTTTTACCAGAGCTCATATAGCAACGGCACAGCTCCGCTCGATGGTCAAAATTTTTGATGACGTCTCTGCATATTTGCACATCGATCTCACTAATACTCTTTATTATATCACCCCTCGGTTGTTGAATTGTTGTTGGCATACACCTTACATTTGAGGTGACCCCAAAGAAAAAAAAATATCCCTTGATTTGAACAGGTTAAGATTTTAGTGATCGAGGATCAATATTCACCTGAAGAGAGTTCTCTAAGTGACTAGTGCAGGAGAAGAAAATATTAGCATAGAACCTACGGTTGCATCTATTAATTTCAGACATTAAACTATGAGACCTAGATGCCCATCTCGTACTGATCTTAAATTCGTGACATCAAGTTATAAATCGATGAAAGCTAATAAAAAATTAAATTGAAAATGACTTTTCGTCGGTTGTTGAGTAACTAAGGTCGTGATGCGATGTCAGGACCGATAACTCCGGAGATTATTCTTTAGATTCTGTCAAGAATTTCTGTATTCCTAGCAGAAAATTCAAACCAGATATGACGGCAATATACGCTTTCGATAATTCGTTTCAAGGCCTTTTGAAGGTATTAATATTCCTATAATTACGTTAATCGCTTCTAATTAACAGTGATGACTGAAGAAGAGGAGCTGTCCGTGAAATAAAAATAAAATAAAAATGAAAATGAATATTCAACTACACATAATGGCGATCTCATCTTTTATGGACGGATTTTGATTTTTAATATGAAACCATAAATTGTTCGTCCTTGTTTTGAAAGCTTCGCAAATATTTGGAAATATTTCTAAAGCACTTTTTCCCCCTCCATTTTGCGAGTAACTTGTTTTTTTTTATGCAGATATTTTGATGGAAGGATATTTTGTCTTATTATTTAAATAGCCAAAGGGAGAAAATCTGGACAGAGCAGCTGACAAAACCCGTAAGAAGACAAAGAGAAAAATGTTCAGATATTGATGTTCAGAGAAAAAAAAAAGATAAACAGAATATCATGAACAGTGTCCATTATCTAAGCAGCAATCTGTTTTTAATGATATAGCCGTTCATATCCTTAACCATTTGTTTCTTTCTATCTATCTAGCTAGCTAGCTAGATAGATAGATGTCTGTCTGTCTGTCTATCTATCTATCTATCTATCTATCTATCTATCGTCAGCTTATCTATTCATCTATATTAGTTTCGTCATCCTGTTTATCTATCTATCATTCTATCTATCTATCTATCTATCTATCTATATATATATATATATATATATATATATATATATATGTATGTATATATATATATATTAGTCTGTTCATTCTATCTCCCTGTCTATCTATCTCACGTCATCCTATCTATTTATCTGTCTCAGTATTGTCATCCTATCTATCTATCTATCTATCTATCTATCTATCTATCTATCTATCTCAGCCTCTTCCTATCTATCTATCTATCTATCTATCTATCTATCTATCTATACATACAAAGTTTGTTCATTCTGTTTATCTATTTATCTGTCTCGTCATCCCATCTATCTATCTATCTATCTATCTATCTATCTATCTATCTATCTATCTATATATATATATATATTTATATTTATATCTATCTATCTATCTATCTATCTATCTATATATATATATATATATATATATATATATATATATATATATATAAATGCTGGTACTCGGTTAGAAAAACCTCGAATTGCAGTAGAACAAATCGGTACCCGAGGAAAAATTGGGAATAAAAAAAAAAAAGAACCAAGAACATTAAACCAAGGGGAAAACAATCGTCCAGTGTTCAAGCTCAAAGTCCAAAGAAATAAAAACCCAAAACGAGTCAAAAGACAACTCCATAAAGTGCTCAATACACTAAGTAGAGCAAAACCTAACATAATCCTAAGGGGCCAGGCAAACCTAAATAAACGAATCGCCCTGACGATGAGGTGAATCTTTAGGATTATCATATATATATATATATATATATATATATATATATATATATATATATATATTCGTTTCATTTCATTCTTGGAAGTGCTATCTGATGATACTGCGTCCTTTAAAAGGCTCTGGTGAAATAAATTATTATAATGGTATCTTAAAGTGGTCTGTTTTTTTTTTTATATATTTATATATATATATATATATATATATATATATATATATATATATATGTAAGCAAATATATGGATATAGATCTGACAGTATGAAGAAAATACAGAAAAAACAAACAAAAATCTTAATATGCAATTATGCTGTATTAATGTTAATATAAAGTCGACGTCTACTGGAAATACAAACCTGAATTTACTTTATAACATGGAAGACTTCAAGCTTGGACGAGAATATAAGAATCTATTGATCAAGTAAGGAAAGGATTTATTATCGAACTGTTTTTTAGAACTGTTCCATCGTTTTTGAAATCATTTTTGATTTGCGTTGTAGCGTGAAGGACTTCAAGCTTGTATGAAGATATAAGAACCTATTGATCACTACGTATTTCCTATATCAACGGAAGGGATTTCTTGAACTGTTTATTTAAAATAGTTCAATCGACTTTTTTAATATTTTAATATTTGGAAATCATCTTCGAATACGTTTTAACAACATCGCCCACGTGACGACAACGTGATCATATTTAAACGGAACGCTGATCTTATATAAAAATTTCAGTTATCTGTTTGGATTAATTGTGCTCTTATGTCCATCGTCTTTTCGTGTTGAATTTTTATATGTTCTAATGTTAATTATGTTTAAATGAAAATGTCCATGAAGATGGTCTTAAATAGACCGAAACGTCCGACGTTGACTTTATATTAACATTAATACAGCATAATTGCATATTAAGGTTTTGTTTGTTTTTTCTTTTTTCATATATATATTTATATATATATATATATATATATATATATATAAGTCTATTTATTCTATCTATCTATCTATATCAGCTTATAAACAGCAAAAAAATTGCAATATTTTATAGGAAAAATGCATCTTATAACGAGCAAAATTTTGCTGGAGATATTTTATAGAAAACATATGCAACTTATCAAAAGCACAATTGTTGGGAGATATTTTCTATGAAAAATGAGCCTTATGAGCAGCAAAATGCGTTATTATTATTATTATTATTATTATTATTATTTTTATTTATTTTTTTTTTTTTTCAAGAGGTTGAAAAATCTGAAAATTTGAAAATACCAGTAATTTAAAAAAAATATTTGCTAGTCTTGAAGATTATTGCCTCTGAGCAGTTACCTCACGTTTTTTACGGACCTCATCAAGTATACGAGACGCGTTAAATTTGAGCAACATCCAGCTGACACACAGGGGTTTAAATAGGAAACTAAAATGATACATATGACATACTCATATCCTCTCTCCCACCTCACTTCCTCAACTTTGCGTATACTTGATGAGGTCCGTAAAAAACGTGTGAATTTCTTTTCATTTTTCATTTCAGCTTTTGGAAGTAAAGTCTGATGATCCAGAACCCTGTAAAAGGGGTTATGGTGAAATAGCTTATTACATGGAATCTTAACGTGGTCTGTCTTTTATTCAAAATATATATATATATATATATATAATTCTAATTTCTATATAAGTAATGCATTTATTTTTATTTA